AGATAGATAGATAGATAGATAGATAGATAGATAGATAGATAGATAGATAGATAGATAGACAGACAGACACATACATACATGCATGCATACATACATAGATACCCCACACAAACAAAGCGAAAGGAAGGAAGGAAAAAAGCTGTCTTACCTCAGTGTCTATACTGGGTGATAAAAATGGCTGTGGCGTTTCAGGATTGTTTCCTTTGTGAAAGGCTACTCTGACATGGTCTTCCGCATAAAAATAAGATCCTGATAGTATTTTAGTGTATCATAAATGCCTGTAGTTTCAAGAGATAGTATAAAATTTCAGTTACTTTACTTTGTTAATCATTTTAGATGTAGCACTCTTAATTCTTCATGGCATTCTGTAGTACCAGTTTAACTCTGTCTCCAGTATAAACACCCAGACTCCAGCTTAGCTCTGGACGGACATTGCTATCTACAGAAAACTGGAGAGAAGACTGCTTCAACTGATTTTTCCTGTGTATGTTTTGAAACAAATTCTAGGTTATATTTAAGGTGTAGAATATTTTGTGTGGTAGGTATGCCTAATAAAATGGCTATTATAATGAAACATAACCATCTTCTCACAGTGATATTTTTTCTCTATAACATAAACAGTTATAATCTGCTCATTTATCAAAACATTCTAACTATACTATGATATTATTTACAATGTTTTAACTTCAATTTTTGTTTGTTTTCAAGACAGGGTTTCTCTGTTTATCTCTGTCCTGGAACTAGCTCTGAAGACCAGGCTTGCCTCAAAGTTAGAAATCTGACTGCCTCTGCTTAACCAAGTGCATGCACCATCATTCCCTGCATTAAGTTTTTTTTTAATTGTATTTTATATTGTAAGACCTGGGGTCTCACAGCTCAGGATTTCAAGATCGCGCCCTTCCCAGAAACTCCTCCAGACCACGACTCGTTGCAAAAGCAAGAGGTTTATTAACCATTGTGCAATGGGGTCACCCCTGCCGCTCAGGAAAGAGTGGCACCAGGAGACAAAGGCCTTTAGGTTTTTAAAAGAAAAATTGCAGGAAATTTGAAGTTGCAGTTTTGGCAATTTAGGATTGGATGAGGAAGCTATAAAGTAAGACAATTGTTTAGTCTTAGGTGCTCAAGCTTGGCTAGTCCTGCCAAGTGTGGATACAGCTGCAATTGAAGGTGGGGGTGGTTAGCTCATCCTTGAAGATTAGGGGCTGCGGACTTTTGGCTGGAGGTCAAAAGCTACTCAGAAGAAGTCTGGGTTTGTTGCTAAGAAACACTATCTCAGAGACAAGGGTCTGGTCCTTCTTTTTGCTGAGTGAAGGTTATTGCTTGCTTGCTTTTTATATCTGTCCTCACAGATAGGGTCACATTCCTCCATTCTCTGGAAAGGTACTAAGAGGCTTTAGCTTAACCTGAACCTAAAACTCAAAACTATAGGCTTTAGAAGACATACAGGTTACAAAGTTAGCCTAACCCTTTCAATATATGCATGTGTACATTCTTGTGAAAGTCAGAGTACAACTTGCAAAAGTCAGTTCTCTTCTGCCATGTGGGTCCTGGGTGTTGAACTCAGGTCCACAGTCTTGGTGGCAAGGACCCTTAGCTGCTAAGCTAACCTGCCATCTCAAGTCTTTTTAAAATAGGTTTTCAGATAACCTTTCCTTTAAGTCCAACTTTGAAAGGTATAGGTATTGCTAGTTATGTGAAGCCTTTTAGGGCTCCATTATGTCAAGTGATTTATTTCTGAGCTAATCATTCCATCTCCTTCAGTCAAGTAGATGAGGAATAACGTAATCTTACCCATCAGCTTTCTGATTTTCTTTTCTTTAGTTTTATTTTCTTCCCTTTCTCCTTCCCTCCTTCCCTTCCTTTTTTTTTTTTTTCCTTTTTGGGGCAGATTCTCAAGAGAATTATCCTACCTTCTTGAGTGTGTGTATGTGCATTGGGGGAGGGGGCACAACCATATGGCACCAAAGCAAGTCCTGTCTTTGTACATTTCTTGCCAGTAATACTTTCTTTTTGCCTGTGCAGGGTCTTTTTTGTTTTCTTTTCTCTGTGGAGCTTCAAAATGTTAGCGTGTGAACATAGTACAATATAAATAGGACTTAAATATAATTATTAAAAGCTATTGGAGATCTTTTTTGGGGAGTTTTTTTGTCTTTAGGGATATACAAATTACTGAGGCCTAAAGTCATTTGAAATAACATCCCACTCTGATTAAGTTACCAAGTTGATATGTAGTTAAGCTCCTACATATCAAGTAATCTAGGGATTACTTCTTGTTTATTTCAATTTTGTTTTATAATTGCATATAGTTTCTAATTTAAAACTTAAAAAACAAAGTAATTTTTTTTTTTTTTTTTTTAGATTTTATTTTCAATTATTTGTATATGTGAATGAGAGAAGGTTGTGCACATGAATGCAGTACCTGGGGAGGCCTGACCAGGATCTCCTGAAGCTAGTGTAACAGGCCATTGTGAGCCACCAGATGTGGATGTGGGCACCAAGCTTGGGTCCTCTGAAAGAGCAATAGATGTCCTTTTTTTTTTCCCCAAATTTAAGTATATGCATGCTTTATCTACATGTATATTTCCAAATCCTAAAAAGGGCATCAGATCACATTATAAATGGTTGTGAGCTACCATGCAGTTGCTGGGAATTGAACTCAGGATCGCAGGAAGAGCAGCAGAGCCATTTCTCCAGCTCCTCAGTAGATGTTCTTAATCACTGAGCTGTCTCTCCAGCCTCAAGTGTACATTCCTGTTCTTCTTCCAATTTCTTTATTTACACACTGGGTCTACTTGTGTCTTTAAAGTAGACTGCTGCCCTGCTCTACTACTCTTTGTCTATTGCCTTCATTTAGTTTCCCTTGCCATTCTTATAACTACCTGAGATGATTATATTAGGTTCTTTCATTTTTGGATATATGCTTGTGAAAGCTGGACCTGAGATTTGCCAAAATATTGCAATAATCAGTTTCCTTTCAAAATCATTTACAGGAGTTTTTGTAACTTTCCTTTTCTTTTTGAGCATAGATTAGCAGCATGGTTTATTTTATAAAATATATTATTTGGTCAACTGTTACTTAAGATCACATATACTGACATAGGATACTGGATGTAGCGTGTATAACAGTGACAGACCCCTGAGTTCTGAACTGTGTGGAACTGCTATATACACGACAAAAAAGAAGATGAGGATGACATGTGTTATCTCCTACTATATTTAGAAGAGCAATGTATTTCTGTGAGTTTGAGGTCAGCCAAGGCTACACAGAGAAACCCTGTCTTGAAAAAAAACAAACAAAGCAATAACAAAACAGTGTTTTATTTGACAGTGCATTCGAAATGTGACAGGTATTCTACAAAAGAATGAGTGCTCTGACATTCTGTTGTGCTACACTTTGTCTTATAACCAGATCTGATCTAATGTGACATATATATTTTGTGCAAAATTGTGTGGTATATATTATTTGCAAAATTCTCATCGAGAGAATCTGTCTCAAAAGCCAACACTGAAAAAGCAAGCTTAGCTTAGTGTAGTTATGCCCAAAGTCCCAGAAGCAGCTAGATCATGTTTGGAGATGGATTCTTGAGTCTGACTTTCAAGTCTGGGCAACATAATGAGACACATCTCAGCAACAAACAAGAACCACACACACGACATACAAAACACACATAAATATGAGAAAAGGAAAAGGAAATCACAGAGCACATGGGCAAAATAATATTGGAAACATAGTACTCAACACTCAGTGATCTATGAAAAAGGAACCTGATTAAAAAAAAAATGTGTTTTTTGTACATGATAAATAGTGAAGAACGTAGCAGCACATATGAAAAAAAGATCATGGCCTATGCTGAACAATGCCTACAAACACTCAGACAAGAGGGTCTTTCCCAGGTCTGCAGTTCATATTCAGCCAAGAGAAATGACCTTGAGTGGTGGATTTTTCTCCAGAAAGGAGAAAAGTAAGATCAGAAAGCTGGGTGTGGTGGCACACTTCTTTAATCCCAGCATTTGGGAGGCAGAGACTGGTGGGTCTCTGTAAATTGAGGCCAACTTGGTCTACAAGTGAGATCCTATTTACAAAGTTGTAGGTTTACTTATTGAGGGGATGGATGGGTCAAATGTTTTAGCTTGTGTTGTGCAGGACATTTGATCCCACTGTTTTTTCCTGGATTGTGAATTAAAACAACAACAAATCCTGTTTCTTGTTGTGTGGCTCTGCCCTAGCACACACCTTTAATCCAAGAACCCCCTGTTTATTGTAAACAGGGTTAAATGAAGTTAACCCAAGGTCAAGAGGCTGAACAAGCAACCACTTGACAGGGAGTGAACATAAGTAAACACAGGAAGGAGGAACATTGAGTTGAAGGGTATTTAAGACAGTATGAAGAAGAAGGAACTTTTTCCTTCTGGGTAGGAAAGTCAGCTAGGTACTTTTTATGCCTGCCTGAGCTAGCAAGTTTTCCCCCAGCATCTGGCTCCTGAGTCTTTATTGATAAAATCAAATGATTGGAATTCTTTTGTATTTAAAGCAAGCCTGTTTCTAGCTAGGTGCAGTTTTCTGTATTCACTTGTTTCTCATGACAGGAGCCTACTACCGAGGGCCTCTGAAAGATTCTATCTAGCAGGGTATCAAAGTGGATGCTGAGACTCATAGCCAAACTTTGGGCAGAGTGCAGAGAATCTTATGAAAGAAGGAGGAGATAGAAAAACCTGGAGGGGACAGGAGCTCCATAAGGACAGAAACAGAACAAAAAAATCTAGGCCCAGGGTTCTTTGCAAAGACCTATACTCCAATCAAGGACCATGCATGGAGATAACCTAGACCCCTTGCTCAGATGTAGCTCATGGCAGCTCAGTCTCCAAGTGGTTTCCCTAGCAAGGGGATCATGGGCTGTCTCTGACATGAACTTAGTGGCTGGCTCTTTGATGAATTCCCCCTGGGGGTCAAGCAGCCTTACCAGGCCACAGAGAAAGACAATGCAACAGTCCTGATGAGACCTGATAGGCTAGGATCAGATGGAAGGGGGGAGGAGGACCTCCCCTATCAGTGGACCGAGAGAGGGAGGGTGGGGTTGGAAGGGGACAAGGGAGGGAGCTACAGCTGGGATACAAAGTGAATAAATTGTAATAATAAAAAAAAAAACTAAATGAAAAAGACATGAAAAAAAAATTTAAGCATAAGAATTAGCCAGGCATATTCACACACATCTTTAATCCTAGTACTTGGGAGGCAGAGGCAGGTAGATATTTATGAGCCTGAGGCAGGCCTGGTCTGTGGAGAGAGTTCCAGGGCAGTCAGATGTAGAGAGAGCATGTCTCAAACTAAAACAGCCCCCCTTCCAACTCCACCAAATGGGGGATAAATTCTTGTTGTATTCCATTATTTTTAAGTCATCATGTTGGAAGAGATTTCCATTCTTTAAAGCATGTGATGTAATGGGATTGGTTGTTTCCTTCTCAGATGATATGCCGATGGGGACTGCAGCCAAACGCGCTTCAAATGAATTCTTCATGTGTGGAGGGTATGTCCATTTTACCAGAAGAGTTTTCATATTGGGGGAGACATGTTCAGTTGGTAGAATGCTTTTCCAGAATCCACAGAGGCATAGGTTCAACTGCAGGACCACGTAAATGAGTGCCATGGCACACCATTGTAATCTCAGCACCTGGAAGACGGAGGCAGGATGATCAGAAGTTCAGATTTTAATTTAAATAAGATTTTTGATATTTTGTCATTTTTGTGACTTATTAAAGTTCCGTTCTTGAGTTTGTTTAACAATTTACACATGTATACATTCATGTGTATAAAATTCATACATATTATTTTGAGGGTTTTTGGATTTTGGTTTGTTGTTCACTTGTTTTGAGAACCTAGAATGTCAGACATACTACATAAGCACTCCTACTGAACTGTATGCCCAGCCCATGACAACTTTTTTTCATTTTGAGATAGCATTTTGATAAATTGCTGTAATGCAGAATTGTATGTTTGCCTATGTTTACCTGTACCTTTATAGACTTCCCCTCTTTTTCATTTTTCTCTTGTTTGTTTGTTTATTGAGATAGGGTTTCTCTCTCTGCAGCGGTAACCAGGCTGGCCTCACAATCACAAGATCCTCCCACCTCTGCCTCCCCAGCGCTGGGGTTAAAGGTGTGTGCTGACACACCAGGCCTAGCTTTCTTTGTTTTTTGTGGCTTTATATTACTATCTAGTGTCTTTTCAGTTTATAAGCCAGTCTTACTTACTGATCTCCAAAGGCTCTCCTGTCCTTAAGTTGCAACTTAAAAATTTTTCCTTTAGCATAGAAAGAGTTTATAGGCAGTAAATCCCCTCTTTAAAACTTTTTGGCTGGGAATAGTGGTGTATGCCTTTAATCCCAGCACTTGGGAATCAGAGGCAGACTGAGGCCAGCCTGGTCTACAGATTAAGTTCCAGGACAGCCAGAGTTATATAAAAACAAACAAAAAATAATAATAACAACAATTTTTAAAGTTATTTACTTATTTGTGTATGTATGTGCATTGTTCAATAATAAAAAGTATGTGAGCAAAATTTGAATGTATGCAGAAAATATAAAAAACTAGCTTCCTTCCTTTCTGTTTTTGGTTTTTCTATACAGGGTTTCTCTGTGTAGCCTTAGCTGTCTTAGAACTCACTTTGTAGAACATGATGTCCTCAAACTCAGAGATCTACCTGCCTATCTCCCAAGTGCTTCGATTAAAGGGTGTGCTGCCACTGCCCAATTATAAAATGCTTTCTTAATACAATAATCTTGTTTGTTTGTTTGTTTGTTTGTTTGTTTGTTTGTTTCCAGACAGGATTTCTCTGTGTAGCCTTGGCTCTGTTAGACTCACTTTGTAGACCAGGCTGGCCTTGAACTCACAGAAATCAGACTGCCTCTACCTCCCCAAATGCTGGGATTAGCACCACACCTAGTTTACAATAATCTTAAACTATTAAAAGTGTAGTAAAAGGTGGGTGGGGGCAGTGCACAAAAGGCAAAGAAAAAGAGACGACAAATTAAAGCTGTTCCTTTCTGGACCCTCAGATCTTGGGGGGCTGCCAGTCATGGGGGTGGGGAGATCAGTTGAGCTCTTGTGGACTCTTTTTATGGTTTTTGCTGCTGTTGAGCCTGTACTACACAAGTGTCTGTGTCTACAGAGCCATCTTCAGCTTAGTAACTTACCTTTATGTACCAGAGGCCTTGGCTGGCTACATTAAGCTATGCATTCTGTCTTCTAGACATGTTCTATCACCGCTGGGCCCCCAAATTCCCCAGATCATACTTTTTGGTGTGACTAATGCCCTGAGTGGGTGCCATTCCTTCCTATGTTTGGAGTGTGGGAAGTAACCATAGCGCTGAGATCTGTACAGGCCTTCATACTTTCCCCACCTCCATCACTGTGCTGGACAAAATTTAGGTGTCAAAGTTTTGCTGGAACTTCAGAGTTTCTAGACTACAGTAGTTAGCAGCAGATAGTTGGCTTCAGAGATTGATTCACCTGTTGAGCTCTAGAATTATTTTTGGTTAACGAAGTCTCCTCATGATTACTGAGGGCAGCACCATCTTTCCTTTGTATTTGTAAAAATATACTTTATATTATTTTAACATTTATTTATCTCTGTCACACACACACACACACACACACACACACACACACACACACGGAGGTCAGAGGACAATTTGCAGGAGTGAGTTCTCACTTTCCACCACTTAGGTTGTCAGATTTGGTAGCCAGCCAGGACTATACAGTGAGATACTTACCTTTAAAAAAAAAAAAGTTTGAGCCAGATATGGTGGTACACACCTTTAATCCCAACACTCAGATACACAGGCAGGCAGATCTCTGTGAATTTAAGGCCAGCCTGGTCTACAAAGTGAGTCCAGAACAGCTAGGGCTACATAGAGAAACCCTGTCTTGAAAAACAAAATAATTTTGGAGAACAGGAAGCCTTCTAAAGTATCATGTTCCTGTCCAGGTGAGTGATAAGTCCACTTGGATTAAACCTTATCTCTATATATCTATTCCTCTGTCTGTCTGTCTGTCTGTCTATCTACAAGATCTTTCTACATAGCCCTACCGATGGTCCTGGAACTAACTAGGTAGATCAGGCTCTCCCCAAACTCACAAGAGATACTACTGCCTCTGCCTTTGGAGTGCTGAGATTAAAAACACCTGGTCAGGATTAATTCTCTTTCTTTTTTTTCTTGAAGATTTTATTTATTTACTTTTTACATATACAGTGTTCTGCCTGCATTTGCTGGGAATTGAACTAAGGACCTCTGGAAGAGCAGCCAGTGCTCTTAACCTCTGAGCCATCTCTCCATCCAGGATTAATTCTTAAGGGAAAGGATAATTGTATGCCTTTCTTTACCAGAAATCTTCCAGCTAGATAGTAACTTTATGAACTTTTTGGCAGTGTAGATGTCATGTCTCACTAAGCCCATTCTTTTGACTAGCAAGTAAAGGCCTGTAATTTTAATTCCTAGTTTGACCTGCTCCTGATTATGAAAAAGGGGTTTGTGTTGGTTTAAATAAGAATGGCCCCTATAGGCTTATGTTTGAGTGTTTGGTTTCTAGTTGGTAGATTGTTTAGGAAGGATTAGGAGCAAGCATTTCCATATTCTAGGTAGAAATAAGGAAAATGAATGAAAGACTTTTATTTGTGTCTCATCAGCTAACAAAGATTTATGGACATACAAAGAAGTCTGAAATATGATACTATTTAGCTAAGTGTACTGCTGTTAATTTTGAGTTCTATTAGTAAGAAATAATAAGTGAATTAATACTGAAAAAGTAACTAATATTTCTGCTATCCATGGGTTTTTATTTAAATATACATGGTTTAAGAAGTTCTGAAGTGACTTCAGACAATAACCATTTGAATGATGAAGTCACCTACTGTAATTGGGAGGTGAGATTCATGTGGCTTTTAGAATTACAGAAGGGCAGAAAAATCAGTAAAGTCATCTTAAAACTCAGTACAGTCCTAAATGCAATAAAAATGAAAGTGCTTTAGGGCTTACTATTTCTGAATTTATGGAAAGAGAGGAAAAAGGTGTTAAAGAAACCAAGTACTTACACTTAAATGTGGGCCTCCTACCAGCTGTGTGCTTTGTGAGTTCCATAATTATCTTTAAGTTGGGAATGCTAACAGTAAGCATTGGGAATGCTTACTGGAATGTTAATATTCCAGTCATCTTTGCTTTTGAACATCCTGCTCTGTACTTGGCATAAACCTTTTTTCCTTGTATAGTACTGAATAGCAGAATGTGAGTAGATGAAACCATTTTACCAAATGGTGAACTTTTCCTCTTGTAGCAGAGCTCTTTTAGATTTCTTCCTCTTCCTCCTCCCCACCCCCTCCTTTTTTATGGTTTTTCAAGATATGGTTTCTCTTTTTCTGTTGTTGGCCTGGGCCTCAGAGATCCGTTTGCCTCTTGTCTCCCTGGTGCTGGAGTTAAAGGTGTAACCACACCCAGCTTTGATACAGTTTTTAGTCCTCAGCATGTGTATAACTGCCAGAAAAGTTCTTGACAGATGCAAATTTGGGTTAAATGCTTGCGTGTGCGTGCATGCATGCTCAGCTGTATGTGTTCTGTTTTTGTTTTGTTTTTTTTTTTTTTAAAACAGGATTATTTCTTACACTTAAAAGTGATCACTTGGCTTTCTAGATTTTTTTCTAAATATCAGTAACAGGTCAACTGAAAGAAAATTAGTCTGACTGTTGTTTCTTTCTTAATATGGTGGCAGGCAGTGTCAAACTACTGTGTCGCCTCACAGTGAAACAGCCCCAATTCCAGTTCCTACTCAAGTAAGGAATTATCAGCGCATAGAGCAGAATCTTATATCCACTGCTAGCTCTGGCACAAATCCACATGGTTCTCCAAGGTAAGCCAGTCTCTTCATTCTTTTTATTTGTCAAAAAGGTTTTTCTTGTTGTTGTTACTGACAGTCAAAGAGTGTGTTTTACATCACACATGTATTTGCCTAAAAATATAATTACAGATGTAGCTCAGTTATTAATACTGGCCTACCAGGACCAAACACTGTAAACTAGGCAACATGGCACATTCCTGTAATCCTAGCCCTTGAGAGATGGAAGCAAGAAGATCAGAAATTCAAAGCTATCCTTAACTACATAGATTATTGAAGGCCATCCTAAACTGCCTGAGCTCTTGTTTAAAACACAAAACAACAACAAAATCAGCCAGTTGTGGTGGCACACACCTTTCATTCCCCACAAAAAGAGGCAAATGGGATCCCTTGAGTTTAAGGACAGCCTCGTCTACATAGCAAGCTCCAGGCCAGCCAGGGCCATATAGTATGACCCTATCTCAAATGAAACCAGGAGTGGGGGTGGGGAGAGAAGAACTTGTTTGATAAATAATATTTTTGGTATAGTGGCTCATGACTATAATCCAGTCACTTGCTAAACCAAAGCAGGAGGATTGTCAATCTAAGGTAACTCTAAAATACATAGCAGTGAAAATAGGAAGGAAAGAAGAATTTCAGTTTTTCAGCAGATTTTTGTTTTGTTTTTTTCAAGATAGGGTTTCTCTGTGTAGCCTGGGCTGTCCTGTACTCTTTTTGTAGACCAGCCTGGCCTGGAACTCACAAGATATCTGCCTGCTTCTGCCCCACTGAGTGCTGGGATTACAGGCGTGCATCACCATGTCTAACTTCAGATTCTTCTATTTGTTGTGTATGTGTTCTACATCTGAAACTCCCCAAGGTGATAGTAAAGATCAACTCCAGGAATGCAATTAAAAAGATGTTGAGTGGTGACACAGTTCACTAAGTTTCTAGAAAGCAAAGATGATGAAAGCAAAGATCTTCTACTTCCTCAGAGCAGAAGATTGCATGTGATCAGGATTCTGGTAGAATGGGATTCACTGCATCCTATAGAGGCCTAAATCTCAGAGAATTCAGGTAGCATGGAAAGAGGAAATAGCACTTCATTTCTGGCAACTTGTTCTTAATGTATCTATACTTAGTCAGATCCATATCCTTCATACACAATCTTTGCATAAGACATAGCTTAAATGTGATATCAAAAAGGTGATAAATAAGCCAAGTGTCCACCATTGTTTTCATACTAATTTATTATAGTCCATCTATGACAATAGAAAGCTATGTAAGCTAGGCAGTGGCGGCAAATGCCTTTAGTGCCAGCAAATGCCTTTAGTGCCAGGAGGCAGAGGCAGGCAGATCTCTGAACTCTACAGAGAGAGTTCCAGGACAGCCAAGGCTACAGAGAAACACTGTCTGGAAAAACAAACAAACAAAAAAGAAAGCTATGCAACTTCTATTCCAAATGAGCAAGGAAGCTAAGTCTTAAACAGAGAAGTTTCAAAGGTATAATATAAAATGAAAATTTCGAGTTATGGATCCCTTCATAGAGTCCACAGGTCAAAACTTCTTTCATATTAAGACAGTGTAAAAGGAACTTCTATGCACCTTGGAGGATTACTGCCTGTCTGCTAATTGAAGTCTAGTCCTGGGAGCTTCTAGCCGAGGTACAATCCAACCTACCCCTAGAATGTGTTCGGCCCCTGAGACTCACTGCTTAATAAGCTCACCCTTACTTGTTCTTTCTGAGCTCATAGGTGGCTGGTTCAACTCAGCTGTTCTGGCTCAAACTCTTCTCCCAGCTAACTTAACTCAATCTGGCTTTTTTTTTTTTTTCTCTCGGCCTTGGAATTGCTCTGCTTGGCATCAAACTAACTCCGGCCATGTTTTCTAATCTTCTGGTGCCTTTCTCCTCATTCTCTGTGTTGCTCCCTTAAGTAGCTGCTCATTCTTCTCTCTTCTCATGGGAGTTGGGCATATCCTATTCTGTCAAATTTTTTCTGACTTGTCACTTTCTTTTTTCTGCCACTCAGTTAGACATCACTTTCAAACATGGGTGCTTCCTTCTACAAACTTTACCTTCATTGTTTGGGATTAAAGGTGTGTACTACCACACTTGGACCAAAGTTTATTTTTTAACCTAATTACTTCCTCTATACCAGGCTGGCCTTGAACGCAGATCTGCTTGCTTCTTCTGGATTAAAGGCTTTTGTATTCCAGATGGATCACACAGACCTAGAAGTTGTTTGGATGTGATCTCTTGCCAGAACAGACTTATTCTGAATTAAAATTCCTCTACAGACTAGGCTATGGCTTGCTTTTCTCATTGTGTTAATGTATGCATTGGTGGTGAAGAAAGCAAAAATAAATAAAACTGCTTGTGTCTTTTTGTTTGGTTTTGTTTTTCAAGACAGGGTTTCTCTGTGTAGCCTTGGCTGCCCTGGACTTGCTTTGTAGACCAGGCAGACCTTGAACTCACAGAGATCCACCTGGCTCTGAGTGCTGGGATTTCAGGTGTGTGCTACCACATCCGCCTCTTGCTTGTGTCTTAACAAGAATCAAGGTAATGAATGACCTGCAATGTATTTATGATCTTTACCACCACATACAAAGGAAATGTCCTCAACAAAGCAGCAAAAGCTACTTTTTTTAACATCACAACCTGGGGGAGTTAGGTACCCAATATGCTAACGAAGCATGTTTATAGTATATTAGACAGTTGCCTTAGGAAAAGATTGCATGATTAGGTTGTCAGACAAACTAGCTCCCCTTTTACTGAGCACTTTTTATTTTAAAGAATGACAAACTGTAGTATGGGAGTAGAACAGCCATTTTGTCAGAAATGAACTAAGTGTTTCTACTTGGAAGAAAACAATGAGAATAATACCAATAATGAGGTTTCAAACAAAACCAGACCTCTGGAAAACATACTCAGCACTGTAATGCCAACGTATTGTTAGTTTTCCTCCCATATTTCTGTTTGATTGGTGACTTTTTTAAGATTTATTTTATGTGTGTGAATGTTTTGCCTGCATGTATGTTTGTGCACCACTTATATGCCTAGATGCCCTTGGAGGTCAGAAGAGAGTGAAGGTGTTGATCCCTAGATCTGGAGTTGCAGATGGTTGTGAGCTATCATGTCCTCTGCAAACCCGTGTCCTCTGCAAGAGCAAAGACTGTTCCTAACCAGTGAACCATCTCTCCAGCCCCATAGTGGTGACATTTTGATATTGTGTAATGTGTCAGCATTTGGATTATCTGCATAATTCAGTGAATCAGTCTTGTCCAAACTGTGTTAAGAATGCTCCACAAGCTCGATGGCGGTAGCCCACTCCTTTAATCCCAGCACTTGGGAGGCAGAGGCAGGAGAATGGCCATGGGTGTGAGGACAGCCTGGTCTACAGAGTGAGTTCCAGGGCAGCCAAGGCTACACAGAGAAACAACAACAGCAAAAGGCGGGGGGAGAATGCTGTGCAAATTAAAGGTTTATTCAAAGTGCTGATACTTTTCAGAAGAATGAACTTTAATGTAACAGAGTACGATATTCGTGAATCATTTCACGGTTTGCCTAACTCTTTAGAAACTACTTGCTTAGTGTCAAAAAAGAGTAATCACAGTTATCTGAAAATCTTGCCAAGATATTTTTGCTTTTCTAGGACATACCTGTGTAAATTTAGATAATCTTTACATACTTCACCCAAAATAGCATATTGTATAACAACTTGATAGCAGAAGTAATTCTAAAAATTCAAGTGTCTCCTATTAAGCAAGGTATTAGAGAGTTTCCAAAGTGTAAAATACCGTGCTTCCCTTTTATTTACTTTCTTGGAAAATATATTTACTTTTTGTAATATTAGGTTAAATATTGAAAGATCCCCGGAGGGTATCTTCCGTCAGAGAGACCCCCTCCCAAGGATCAACGAGGCCATTCGGATGCAAACAGCAAGAGGCTTTTATTTTGATTCACGAGTACTCGGGCAGCAAGGTCACTCAGGAGGACTTTGCGCGCCCCCTAGATGGGAAGCTGGGGTTTTTATAGGGTTTTAGAGGCAGAGGCACTGGTACAGAAGCGAGAGGGCATGGTTACAGGGGGCTGATTGGTACGTTTACACGAGACCACAATTTGCGTCAAAGTTTGGCAGGGGCACCAAGATTCCAGGAACTGGGTGGTCAAGGGGGGTAGGATGACCCCTTGACGTGGCCCGCCACCTGTTATTTTGTTTTTCCCTATCTTAGCTGAAACAGTCTCACAGATATCTATGAGAGTGATTAACACAAACTGTTTTTAGTATGACTGGGGCAGCCTGACCACAGATATCCCAAGTGGGTGACACAGCTAGGATTTCTCAGTAATTTTCCAGTTTCTCATCTGGCCTTCAGAGTTTTACAAAACAGTGGTGTCTCACAAAATGGCATTAGCTATGTTTAACTTAGTGTGAGGCTGGGGTCTTTCAATATAATCTATTTTTTCATCTAAAAGCTTTGTTTACATACAAACGAGATATAAGCTAATAAAAACCACCTGGAGGCTAAGTCGTTTTTCAGAGGATAAAAGAGTCTAGACCTGAGTCCAGACTGACAATAATTAGTATGTCATGTGTCACTCAGAGGTTGGAAGCTGATGGTGATGTCGTTACACACTCAGGGCTTTAGTGAGCTCTGAAAGACACAGCAAAAACTGAGAATGGTAAGATTGGAGAACTGTGGAGAGTTGGGCAGAAAAAGAGAAGAAGGGAAACTTTATCACTATTCTCCTCTTCCTCCTACTTATTTGTGTTCTTTTTTTTTTTTTTTTTTTGGAGACCAGATCTTATTGTGTAGTCCTAGAACTCACTATGTAGATCAGGTTGTCCTCTAATTCATTCCATCTGCCTCAACCTCCTAAATTCTGGAATTAAAGGCATGTGCCACCACACCTGGCTCATTTTAGATTTTTCGTTTTTTGTTCCTTATAACCATTATGTATTGTGTGTTTTAAAACTACATGGAATACTGTCAGGAGTTATCAGAAAAAAATAACAGAAAGTTGTGTCCTGGGACCTGTCAGATAGGAATTAATTCTCTTTTTCTTTTCAGATCTGCAGTGGTACGAAGGTCTAACACCAGCCCCATGGGCTTCCTCCGTGTCGGGTCCTGCTCCCCTGCACCAGCAGACACGGTGCAGACAGGAGGGCGAAGACTCTCAATAGGCTCCTCTAGGCCTTACTCACCATCTCCTTTGGGTGAGAACAATTGAAGGCAGCCATTTTTACCTGTTTTCCCCTGTAATTAGATTGAGCACATTCTCAAGGGACACTGTACCATGTAACGGTGCTCTTTTAAGCTGATCCTTAGTTCTGTATCCTACTCCCAACATCACCTTAAAAACCTCTGCATTGGAACCTGGGTGATGGCTTAACAAGTGCTTGTCAATCGAGCTTGAGGACTGGAGTTCAGATTCCAGAACCCACAGAAATGCTGGATGGGTTTAGTAGTAACCTACCGGTAATTGCAGCCTTGCACGACTGGACAAAGGAGATTTTCCTCCTGCTTCCCCCTGGCAAGCTGGTGGCTTCTGGATTTGATTGAGAGACCATGCCTCAAAGAATGAGGAGGAAGAGTAAACAAGAGAGACACACACGTGAGAGAAAAGGATAAAAACAACAGCAACAACAAAAAACCCCCCTCCAATCTGTATGATGACTGTTGGAAATATAATAATGTATCTTTTCTCTCAAAAGTGTCCTCATCCTCATGTTACCTTTAGCCCTGGGTTAAAATACATAAAATACCTACTTAATACTCAAGTGAGTAAAGAGTAATTAAAATATAACAGCTTTGGATCACATTCACCAGAACTTTCTAGCTCAGAATGGGACTATATTAGTAGCTTTGTTCCAGATCTTCCCACCTGGTGGTTGTTTAAGAAAGCCTAAAATGAGCCAGGTTCCGTAGCACACACTTGTAATTCCAGGACTGGGGGAGGCAGCGGTAGGCAGATCTCTGTGAGTTCTAGGCCAGCCTGGTACACAGAGTGAGTTCAGTACAGCTGAGGCTACACAAAGAAACCCTGTCTCTAAAAACAAAACAAAACAAAAAAAGCACTGGAAACCATTGCAAAAGTAAAATAAACTGCATTTTAAGTGCAACTAAGAAACACAATTCTGAAATCAGAGCATATATAAGGAAAGTCAAAAGCCAGGTTTGTATTATCTCCTAAAAGTACTGAGCCAGTAAAGAGACAGTACAGAAAGGCCGCATCTAGTTGGAACTTGCTGATAATGTGTTTTTAAAAGTTTAGGGGCTGAGAAGTTGGCTTAGTGGGTAAAGTGCTTCCTATGTATGCATAAAGAGCTGATTTTGAATCTCTTAACACCCATGTAAAAGCAGCATGTATCTGGAACCCCAGCACTGGGCGATGACAGAGCAAGTAGATACCATGGTCAGCTAGGGAGCGCCAGGTTCAGGGAGAGACCCTGTCTCAAAAGAGAGAGTGATAGAGGTCACCTAGTTCTGACATCCGCATAGAACAACAGAATTTTTAAAAGATTTATTTATTGAATATACATAATGTGTTCTGTCTGCACATACACCTGCATGACAGAAGAGGGCACCAGATCTCATTATAGATGGTTGTGAGCTACCATGTGGTTGCTGGGACTTGAACTCAGGACCTCTGCAAGAGCAACCAGTGCTCTTAACCTCTGAGCCATCCCTCCAGCCAAATAACAGATTTTTAAAGAGTTTTATCACCCATCTTTTTTTTTTTTTTTTTTTTTTTTTTTTTAAATCTTCAAACCAACTCTTGGGCCTCCCTTCAATCCTGCAGGAGCCACTGCAGCATGGATCTGCAAAGACAAGATCCAAACCTTATTAAAGCTGAAAGGTCCTGTTACCTCACTGCTTTTGCAGACATGTCTTATGTCTGCGTAAACACCTTGAAACTTCCTTGCTCGTGCCAGTTTGTGTTCATAGGGACGTGGATGGAAAAGTATTGTATAGGTAGAAGATTGGTTGGGGAACCACCTATAAAAGGCCAAGGGGAGGGTCAAGAGGGAACATAGAAGGCTTTAGAACAAGGTACAGATCTGACACCTTGAGAGGAAAGGAAATTAGGAAAGAGTCTCAGACTTTAGCAAAGGCTAAAATATTTTATCCAGACTGCAAGAATAGCCGCAAGCACTGATTTGTCAGACTGAATTCCTTGACCTAGTCAACAGACCTGGCTTTGTCCGTGGTTGGTCGCAGCCCTCAGGAGCCTGACCTCAGAGCATAAATGTAATGCGTAAGAACTCCAGCTTGTCTGTCAGTCAGCCGGATCCTGCAATCTCACAGGCCCCACATTTATCCAAACTCTGCTACTTCTGCTTTATATACCTAACTTTTGGGGCATTTATTTGTTTTATTGTTATATAATACTTTTTAGATCTCAGCCTTTCTGGCACCTAGAACATTGATTGGGTATATCAACTCTTTGCTAATGAGAATTATGCAAACCATTACAGACTGAGCAGCTTGTGTGTGTGTGTTGCCTGTTTCTGTCCTTACTCAGTTTTAAATAATATTCTTTGTTCATTTCTAGTTGGTACCATTCCTGAGCAGTTTAGTCAGTGCTGCTGTGGGCATCCTCAAGGCCATGAAGCCAGGAGTAGACACTCTTCAGGTAATAAAATATATTTTATTATGAGTGGATTTGAGTTATATTTTTCCAGTCTTATCAAAACAACAGAATTGATATGAAATATTCCCTCTTCTATACTTTTTTTAGAATTTTGATCTAATGCTTTTTAATAGCATATATCTAGTGTCTCCCTGTAGTCATAGATGTTTATGATAATTAATCTTAAGAAACCAAGGGAGTAGATGTGTAGCTCAGTTGGTAAGGTACTTGCTGATCATGCTCAAAGCCTTGGATTTAGTCCTCAGGACCACATAAAACCATGCCTGCAACTCTAGAACTCTGGAAAATTAAAAGTTCTAGGTCATCCTCAGATCTGTAGCAAATGAGAGGCCAGCATGGGATAGATGAGACCATCAGAAAGAAAGAGAGAGAGAGAGAGAGAGAGAAAGAGGAAGGAAGGAAAGAGAGAGAGAGAGAAAGAAAGAAAGAAAGAAAGAAAGAAAGAAAGAAGGAAGGAAAGAGAGAGAAAGAAAAAGAACTTTTAAAAATATATGTGTACGTGTGGGTTTATTGTTGTATTAGATAATGCATATTCCTGACAGAAAGGTGTATGTAAATCATACTTTTATAAGCCAAATTCTACTGAATGGACATATGGACATGTAAAGAGCTCAATAATTAGAGAAATCCCATGTTATTAAAAAACTCATTGTGTTTATTTTTATTTATTTATTTTGTTTTTGAATTTTGATTTTTCAAGACAGGGTTTCTTTGTGTAGCCCTGGCTGTCCTGGACTTGCTTTGTAGACCAGGCTGGCCTTGAACTCATAGAGATCTGCCTGCCTTTGCCTCCCACAGTACTGGGATTACAGGCATGTAGCACCATGCTCGGCTTTAATTTTTTTTTTTAAAGTAACATTTAAGTAACTTTTCCTGATCATGACATTTACCACAAATTTTACTTTTATATTTATTTCAGTTTATTTCTCTAGAAAGTAGAATGAGGTTCTTAATAATAAATGTCAGGTTTGGAAAACCTGATGGGTAGTAAAGCTGTAATTATAGGGGCTGGAGAGATGGCTCAGAGGTTAAGAACACTGGCTATTCATTCAAAGGTCCTGACTTCAAGTCCCAGCAACTACATGGTGTCTCACAACCATCTATAATGAGATGTGGTGCCCTCTTCTGGTGTGCAGGTGGACATGCAGACACAACACTATATAAATGAATGAATGAATAAATAAGTAAATAAATAATAACTAGATAAATCAGAAAAAAAAGCTGCACTTGTTTTTGTTCATTTGTTGTTGTTAAAAAAAAAAAACAAAACAATAGGGTTTCTCTATTTAGTCCAGGCTGGCTTAGAACTCTCGCTATGTAGAAGACCAGGCTGGCTTTGAACTCACAGAGATCCTTCTGTCTTTATCTCCAGAGTGCTGGGATTAAAGGCATGTGCTACCATGCTTGGCCTTCAGTTCGTATTTTTTTATGTTGTAATTGTTGGAGGTTTTGGAGATTTTTACTATTAAATTGAGTTATTTGCTTGTTTGAGGCAGGGTCTTGTTATGTAGCCCCAGGGTGGTTTTACACTTGAAACCTTCATATTTTAGCCTCCTGACTATAGGATTACAAGTATGCACCACCAAACCTGGCTTCAGTGTCTGTTTTAGAAGATAATACTTTGAACACTAGGAACACTTGTGTGTTTTAAAATGTTATTAGTAATAGTTTGGTTTGCAAGAAACGTAAGAGAATGTCTTGGTGACCTTTGCTTGGCAACAGCATGATTTATGTGGGAAAGAGAGGCCTCGTCTCCTAGGCATAGGTGTATATGTTACCTGCCTATTTGCCTGTCTGCCTGCCTCTGTGTGTGTCTCCAGAGAGGTGGAAGGCAAGAAGCACCCCCTGTGGTTGCTCTCTGACCTCCAAATGCACACCATGGTGCGCACATGTGCACAAAGTGCTCCTTTTTCATTGCCTGTGTCTTATCTCCGCACTTCTCTGTGGGTTTTAATGTCGCCTTCATTTTGTTATTAGGTTCTCCAGTGCCACAGACCCAGGCACCACAGTCACTCCTACTGGGCGCTAGACTGCAGAGTGCACCTACTCTCACCGATATCTATCAGAACAAGCAGAAGCTCAGAAAGCAGCACTCTGACCCCGTGTGTCCATCTCACACTGGGCCTGGGTACAGTTTCTCGCCTCAGCCTAGTCGGCCTGGCAGCCTTGGGACCTCTCCCACCAAGCATGTGGGGTCCTCTCCACGGAGTTCTGACTGGTTCTTTAAAACTCCTTTACCAACAATCATTGGCTCTCCTACCAAGGTGTGTTTCTTAAGCCCTTTTATGTGTATGAACTGGTACTTTATGAAAGCATTCGTCCTGAGAATAGTTATATTTTTAGTGAACAGTTACTGTTCAGAAAAGGAAGTTGAGTCTTAAAGAGCTTAAAGGAACAGCCCAACATCACACAAATTATAAATAAAAGCCAGTATTTGAATCCACATCTAAGTTCCAAATCAGTGTACCATGTTATCTTGTCAGTTCTGAGCATCTTGTACATCATATTAACTAGTTTATATTATATGCTTCTTTAGACTACAGCTCCTTTCAAAATCCCTAAAACACAAGCATCTTCTAACCTGTTAGCCTTGGTTACTCGTCATGGGCCTGCTGAAAGTCAATCCAGAGATGGAAATGACCCTCGGGAATGTTCCCATTGCCTCTTAGTACAAGGAAGCGAGAGGCATCGATCTGAACAGCAGAGCAAGGCAGTGTTTGGCAGGTAAAAGACTGTTCCCTCTTTAGCCTTTAACGTGAAAATTAATCGCTAAATCAGTGTATTTTCTTGAGACATTCATTTGGTAGGTGGTTTATGCCATGTTATTAATAATACAAACCATATACATTTGAAATTTCTTTAAAAAACAGATGTTTCCTATAACTGTGCATAGAGCTCTTCCTGAGTTTCATTATTTTTATTTTTTTCTGAGTTTCTTGACTGAACTAATTCTTTTATTTTGGTTAGAGAAGTTTATTTATACCCTGAATCATTTTACATCCATTTCTGAAGAGTTCTTTCCTAGTCACATCACTATTTCCTTTTAGATCTGTCAGTACTGGGAAGTTATCAGACCAACAAGTAAAGACACCTTTAGGTGGATACCAGGGCAGCACGGATAGTTTAAATACAGAGCGGCCAATGGACATAGGTAAGAAATTTTCTTAACTTGTCAAGAGGTACTTTGTTAGCATATGCATAGTTTATTACTTTATATAAAGTGTTACAAGCTTGGTACCTTAAAACAACACAAATATATTTTTATGTAGTTATAGTGGTCATCCTGTCATCTCAACTTTCTCCTCAGTATCCATCAAAACAAGTCTTACTTAGTAACCAGAGGCCATTATGATCAGTGAAATAACTCGGGCACAAATAGGCAAATACCACATTTTCTCAAGATAACGCATAGAGAAAACAGACTGGAGAGCCTTAGAGGATGGGAGGAAAATAGAAAATTAGTGCTAAAGCCAGTAAGATATTCTAGTGTCCTATAGCATGTTAACCTAACCATAGCCTTTAACAATTAATTTCCTATTTCAAAATAACCAGAGAAAAGAATTAGAAGGTTCTCAACACAGAAATTATTTGAAAAATGCTGATTATCCGACTTGATCATCACACAATGTATACAAGTAAGCAGGTACAAATATTATTATTTGCTTAAAAGTGAAATTATAATAGTGATACTGAATAATTTATTTTCTGGGTGAGGTTCCCCTCAACCTTAATCCCAGTGCTTCATAGTCAGAAGCAGGAGGGTTGTGAGCTCAAAGCCCAGCTGGAATGTATAGTGAGACACTAAAAATAGGGCTGGACAAGTGCTATTTGTGAAAGAGTTTGCTGCTCAGGAGTGAGGGCCAGGGTTTGGATTCTCTGTACCCACATGAAAGCCAGGTAAGTGTAGTTGCCTGCGGTAATTGTGGCACTCCAAAGACAAAGACAGAGGGATTCCTGGCTCAAGCTGTCTAACTAGACTAACCGAATTTACAAACTCGAGGTTCAGTGAGAGACCCTGCCTCAGGGAATTAGACAGAAAGCAGTTGAGGACGACACTGGACAGCAACCTTTGGCCTCCACACCAGGTACATGTGTACACACACACATGTAACCCATGTAAACATACATCACAGATGAAAAGTTATGATTTGTACTTATTTTTAAACAAAATACATGCTAATTGGGCATAGTGGCACATGTCTTTAATCCCAGCACTCCCAGCACTCAGGAGGCAGAGGCAGGTTAATCTCTGAGTTCTAGGACAGCCAGGGCTGTGTGGAAAGAGCCTGTCTAAAATTTTTGTAAAATATTTTAATTAGCTTAAGTAATTGGCAAGATTCAGTAAATTTTGAGAGTAAAAACCTAACTGTTCTTTTGGTTGAATAATGTGTTGCTTTATCTCTAAGTTCCTGGATTCTTTAGTTCTGCTAAATGTATCCACTGTTGAGTCTCTATAGTGAATGTGATTTCTGCTGTTGTACAGCGTCCCCCCTTACTTGCCATAGATTCATTTTAAGACTGAGCACAGATAACTGAAGCCATGGATACTGTAATACCCTATATATATATATACTGTGGGGTTTTTTCCTATATATACGTTACAAAGTTTGATTTGTAAATTAGGTCTAGTATGAGGTTAATAATGTTAACTAATAAAGCAAAACAGTAATAGAAGTATAGTATAGTAGAAGCTGTATGAATGTGGTATCCCTTGTTTTTTTTTTTTCTTCCTTGTTGTCAGGGGCTAGAGAGATGATGGCTCAGATGTTAAGAGCACTTGCTGCTCTTCTAACTTCAATTCCCAGCACCCACATGGTGGCTCACAACCATCTATAATGAGATCTGGTGCCTTCCTCTGTCATGCAGAGGCACATGCAGGCAGAACATTGCATATAATCAATCAGTCAATCTTAAAAAATACATATAGTTGTCAGGTACTTAACTTTGTTGTGATGGTATGAGATGGTACATAAAGAAACCACTTCAGTTGGCATGGTGGCACACACCTTTAATCCTAGCCCTTAGGAGATAGAGCCCAGCGTGGTTTGCATGCTGAGTTTCAGGCCAACTGAGGCTACTGCATTGTCTTTACTCTCATTGTTTGGTGTCCTTGTTAAGTAACATGGGAGTTTCTTGAAGCGCTAACAACGTAGCACTTTGATGAGAATGACAACTAGTAAGTGACTGATGAGCATGTGGATGTATAGTCAGGACGTGCTAGACAAAGGTGCTTCGTGATTCTTTCCTGCTGCTGGAGTGAATAGCAGCGAAGCTTCAGAATTACTTACATTTATTACTTTCAAACCCGGTGAGTGAAGTCTGGACATAGTTGTTTTACTAAGATGATTTGAACAAATATGTCTTTTCTTATGTACACTCTGAACAATTTCCAGATATTTTATTAAGTGGTTATTTGAAAGTATTTTTTCCAGTGTAGTTTTAGTGAGGAGCAGGTCTGTGAAGGAAGGAGCTCTTCATGTGAGTAACCTAGAAATCGTAATCCAAGTAACTAGGTGTTTGGACGATTTTTGAAGGCAGCTTATCTGACCAGCAGCTATTATGTTTAGTTTTCTTTTATAAACAAGCTTGTATAATAATTCCACATGAACATGGTTATAATTTCAGTCCAAGTTATTAGCTGTGAAACATTATTTTATTTTTGGTTTTTCAAGACAGGCTTTCTCTGTATACCCTTGGCTGTCCTGGACTCACTTTGTAGGCTGGCCTCGAACTCACAGAGATCTGCCTACTTCACTGAGTGCTTGTATTACAGGCATGAGCCACCATGTCTGGCTGAAACATTTATTTCTTAAGGATATTTAGCCAGCTATAAATTTCAATAATTTATATTCTTTTTTTTCTTTTGAATATGAACTTTGTTAACATTTAAAATTATACATTTCTCTTTTTTAACCATGAAGTCTCAGTTTGAGGAAATGAAAATTGTTGATAATAAGGTAAACTTCAGGCCTTCCAAAAAATATAGTATCATTGGGTCTTAAAATACACTAATAAACACCCTTAAATACTTTTGTTTTTGGAAACATTGTTGGCATTGTTTTTATATGTAGCCAAGGATGACCTTAAAATCCTGAACCTCTTGTCTCTGCTTTTCAGGTGTGTAGAAGGAACTTTTATTTGCCTGTTTTAATTGTTCTTTCGGCAGTGTACTGCCTCTGTCTATTAACGTAGGCCTAGTCCTAGGTTAATGTAATGGCACGGAAGCTTCTAGCCTCCGTGCCATCTACTGTAGGCCTGGAATGTTTTTCAGCCTCAAGACTTACTGCTGAGTAAGCTCACCCTTTTTTGTTCTTACGGAGCCCTGGCTGGCTGGTTCAACTCAGCTGTTCTGGCTCAAACTCCTCTCTCAGCTGACTTACTTAGTCTGGCTTTTTCTCTCGGCCCCTGAATTGTTCTGCTTGGCCTCAAACTAACTCCAGCAATCTGCTCTAATCTACTGCCTCCTTCTCCTTCTCTGACTCATTCAACCTTCACCCAAATCTAGCTTGTTCTCTCTGCAACCTCTCTTTTATTACTGTCCTGGTAAAACTGCCTGCTCTCTTTCTCTTCATTGCCTATTAAGTAGCTTCCCTTTCCTCTCTTCATGAGAGTTGGGTGTATCTTATTCTGTCAAATTTTCTTTGATTTGTCATTTTCTTTTTCTGCCATTCAATTAGACTTTCAAACATGGGTGCTTCCTTCTACAAACTAACTTTACCCTCATTGTTTGGGATTAAAAGCATATACCCCATGCCCAAATCTAAGCTTTTCTTTATGTGAAACTTGAAATACCAGGCTGGTCTTGAACTCAGATCTTATTGCCTCGGTCTCCTGGATTAAAGGCTTGCTTATTTGTATTCCAGCCAGATCACACAGACCTAGAAGATCTTTGGATGTGATCTCTTGCCAGAGCAGCCATGTTCTAAGTTAAAATTCCTCTACATCGGTGCTCAGAATATAGGTGCCCCGTTGTTACTTTTTATACATGATACAATCTTGAAGACATTACATTAAATAATAATATTGGCCTCATTTTCTAAAACTTGCATAATGATATGTACTTTATAACTTATTTACTATTCATTTACTCCCTATAATATTTATGAGCTCTTTAAATTTGTAGTGCTCTCTTGTAGATAAGATGAACCTTGAAATAATTTCCTTTTGTAATTCATTCAGAGTTCTTAGACTTAGATCCGGAGGCTTTCTGCTTAGAAGTCAGCACTCAGACTGTAGTTGATGAGAAAGAAATCAGTTTAATTATGGAGCTTGGAAGATGGACAAGGATATTGGCCTCAAGTACCTTATGGGGCCTAGAAAGATGACTCTGTGGTTGAGAGCACTTACTGCACATGCAGAGGACCCAGGCTTGGTTCCCGTCACCCGCATGGTGGCTCACAACTGTAACTACCGTTCCAGGAGATCTGACTCCTCTTCTGACCTCCATGACTTTCTGTATGTTCACATACAGTCAGGCACACATGCATAAAATAAATGTTTAAACTACATCTTAGCGAACGCAGTACAATCACTCACTGTTCGTGTAGAGAAGGGAAAGCTGAGAGTGACGGGATGGTGAAAGCAATGTGCTGAGTCAGCACCCAGGTTTCATAAACCTCCTTCCTTTTCTAGGCCAGTCTTTGTAATAAACACATTATTTTCTTGCAAATTAAATTTAGTTCCACTTTTAGTTAAAGAACCAGATTAGGTTGTGTTTTTGTGCCAGATGATGCCTATTCCAGTGTTATCTAAAGTTACTGGATGTTCTGTGCTCTGTAAATCAAGGCAGTGTCTAATAAGTTGTTATTTTATGTCTCTTAGTTACTTTCTTAGAAAGTAACTGACCTTGGCTGTATGGTGGTGAGGCAATGGCAGGCCTAGTCTACAGAGTGAGTTCCAGGGCAGCCAAGGCTACACAAAGAAACCTGCCTCGAAAAAAACAAAAAAGAAAAAGAAATAGTGAACCTTGGAGCTTAAGATCTAGAATAAGGAAAGACATAAAGCAGTGTTTGACATTATACGTTGTTCATTTCTTAGGCCTCATCAGTCAGAGGTCATTTGCATCAGAGTTAATGGGAGACTAATGTATTGTTCAGCTTTCTTCTTCTTTGTCGACATTGTGTTGCTATGTAGCTCTGGCTGGCCTGAAACTTAGTATGCAACCAGGTTGTAATGTTAGGAATTGAATTCATAGCCTTATCATAGTAGGTAAAGTATATATTCCATTGCTTCTACCCTAGTCTTTCACAATTAGCAATTTATAGAGGCTGGAGAGATGGCTCAGTAGTTAAGAGTGCTTGTTGCTCTTAGAACCCAAGTTCAGTTTCCAGTACCTACATGGGGCTCAAAACTGTTCATAACTCTAGGTATAGGGGATCCAGTGCCCTTCTGGCCTCCATAGGCACCAGACACATGTGCAGCGCATATACATAAACTTGAGCAAAACACTCCTACGCTTAAATAACTTCAAAGAAAGCAATCTATGGTCATGTAAAGGCCAGCAAAACTAGAGCCTTATGTAGCTTTTCCCCGCAGTCGTAAGGTGGCTTCTCTCATGTTTATGGGTTGTATTGTAAACACTTGGCTTTATTATTTGGTCCTGTAGAGGTAGTAATTTTTAGATGTCTGAGTGTGAAACGGCTCTGAAGTAAACTTGCTGATTCTGATCTTTTGGTGGATGGGGAACTTTTCATGCACTCTTCATTTAAGCCAAGCTTAACCTATCAGTCCCAGCTTGATCAACACCTGTTATCCCCTTGCTTACTTCCTCACAGATGTCAGAGTCTTGTTTGAAGGCATAGATAAACTTTGTTTAAACTTTGTTTTTCTAATCTTTGTTGTTTACCTTTGTATTTTAGTTCTGGTTCTCAGTGTCTAATTTTTTCCAATTATCAACAGATATAACTTGAAATTCAGATCTTTTGTAACTATCTAAAACTTTGGATAGTATGCTTTGGTATGAAGATTCACAGAGACAGAGATATTACTCTAAAATTTTTTTATTACAGACTTTTTGTCTGAGACAGCGTCTCACTATGTAGCTCTGTCTGGCCTGGAATTCACTCTGTGGATCATACTGGTCTCAAACTCCTAGAGATCTGCCTGCCTCTGTCTCCCAAGTGTTGGGATTAAAAGTGAGACCCATCAGCCATGCAGAGGTGGCACACACCTTTAATTCCAGTGCCAGGAGGCAGAGGCAGATGGATCTCTCAGTTTTAGGCCATCCTGGTCTACAAAGTGAAGTTCCAGGACAGCCAAGTTTACACAGAAAAACCCTGTCTTGAAAAAAACAAACAAATAAATATCTTTTAAATTACATTTAAACTTTTTATATGTGTATATGTGTGTGTGGACTTGCAGGCTCGCCAGAGGCGGTTCTTCTCTACCCTGAGAACCGTAGGACTCAAACTCAGATCATCAGCTTTAGTGGCAAGTGCTCTCACATACTGACTCATCTCTCTAAAATAATATATTCTTGCTGAAAATATCATATGGAATAGTCTAATTTTAGAGTGAATATTAGAATTTTAGAAAGTAATATTAAATGGGGCTGGAGAGGTGCCTCTGGCTCTTCAGAGGACCGAGTTTGCTTATTAGCATCCACGCGCACTCACAGCTGCCTCTGACTCTAACTCCAGGGATGCTGACTAGCCTTGGTGGACACCTGTAACCATACAGGACTACTATGGATGTAATCTAATATCTGGCCAACTTCTTGTTGTAGCTCCTGCAGGAGCCTGTGGTGTTGTGCTGGCATTGCCAGCAGGAGCAGCAGCAAGCGCCAGGGCTGTCCTCTTCACGGTGGGGTCTCCTCCACACAGTGCCACAGCCCCTACTTGTACACATATGGTCCTCCGAACAAGAACCACCTCAGGTGAGAAACATTTCTTCTAGTGCATTACCTGACTAGTTCTGATAGTGAGTTCAGACAAAGCACTTCTCTAGGCTTCGGTCTCCGTCCTGGTAAAGTGAGCGTAGCCGTTTACCTTCCTTAAAGAGTTACATGTCAGAAGTAAATGAGGTAACCTGTTGGGGAGGACTTTGTAAGGTAAAATTACTGTATGCTATGTGTATACTTACACACGTCTGTATGCAGTATAACAGTAAACTGTGACTTCTACATGAAGATACGTATCTAGTTTGTGCACTACTTCATTCATAGACTGAAGTCTTATTTTAGTACATCTAGTAAATTATTTGAAAATTCCTTTTTAACGTATTTGTTGTGGTGCTGTAATTAAACCCAAGGCTCTCTCGCATGATAGATAAGTGATAAATTACTGAACTGCATTCCCAGTTTCCCCCAGGCCCTCTCATGTGGATAACCTTGAACTTCTGATCCTCCTGCATCTGGCATCCACCTTCCAAGTGTTGGGAATAGAAGTATATGCCTTGACACCCTCAATAGGCCCCCCTTTAAAATTATGTGTATGATTGTTTTGCCTGCATGCATATATGTGCAGCTTATGCCTGAGTTGTGTACAAGGAGGTAGAAAAGGTTATCAAATCCTCTGGACCTAGAATTGCAGACACTAATGAGCTGCCGTGTGGGTCCTGGTAATCAAACCTAGGTCCCCTGAAAGAGCAGTGGGTGCTCTTTAACAACCCTGAGCGATCTCCCCAGTCCTTCCCCCAGGCTTTTAAAGACAGGATCTACTATTAGTCTTAACTAACCTGGCTTCCTTTAATGTTCCTCACCCAACTCTCGAACACACTCACACATATACACATACACACACACACACACACACACGCACGCATACACTTACACATTTTCTTAACTTTTTGATTTTTTTTCAAAGAGGTCTTGTCAAATTTCCCAGGATGACCTTGAATTTACAGTGTAGTCCAGACTGGCCTCAAAGTTGAGATTCTCCTACCTCAGCTACCCAAGTAATTGGTATTACAGCATATGCCACCAGATCTGGCTTATTCTTTTTTTTTTTTAATTTTGTACTTCAGGAACCAGTGTTTGTACTAAATTTTATGTTTTTTAAAATCATCCGACTAAGTTGTTTACTAGTAACAAAAATTTAAAAAGTATTTGACTGAGCTGTAGAGCTGGCTCAGCGGTTAAGAGCACTGCCTGCTTTTCCAGAGGACCAAGGTTACTTTTCAACACCCACGTGGTCACTCAGAACTGTCTGTAGCATCAGACCTAGTGGATCCAGTTCCTTTGGCCTCTACAGGCACCTGTACTCATGTGCACATAAAGTGGACTTGAAGTGATCATGGTCTTAATTGTAAGTGCTGTGTCCTCTAGGTTCTTGTATTCTAAATAAACTGCCAATCCAGGTGCTTGTAAATTAATAAGAGAAAGATAAGATAATGAAAGGCAGAGTTAAAGTATTGTTTTACAAATATTCAAACATACAGAGTGAGCTCCAGGTCAACCAGGTCTTCCTGGAGAGACATGTCTCCAAATAAAATAAAAAAACAAAATAATTTTAAATCCTAAATATAAACTACCATTTTAATACTTTCTTCATCTCCCTCCTCCTCCTCCTCTTCTTTTTTCTTCTTCTTTCTCTTCCTACTTTTCTCTACTTCTCCTTCCTACATCTCTTCTGTTTTTGTTCTTTCTTTCCTTCCTTCCTTCCTTTTTTTTTTTGATAGGATCTGAGTATGCAGACTGGTTTTAAACTCACACAGATTCACCTGCCTCTGCCTCCCAATTGCTGGAATTAAAGACACTTGCTATCAGGGTACACCTATATTAGCATTTTAAAATGCTAATAAGGCCCAGGACTGATGTGGTTTAGTGGGCATACCTAATACTTCTAGAGAAAGGTATGTGGCTATTCCTGGGAAGAACTGTAATATACTAGTAGGTGTAGCAGTGCACACCTTAAATCCCAGAACTTGGGAAGCAGAGGCAGGGGGGTCTCTTGAGCTCTAAGCCAGCCTGATCTATAGATTTCCAGAACAGCCACGGTTATATAGAAAGATCTTTTCTCAGAAAAACAACAACAACAACAAAATGTTCATAATGTTTGTACCTTGAAATTTCCATTACTACTTATCACATAGAAATCACTTAAAAATGATTTTAGTAGTAATTTTAATGCAAAAACTCAGCAATTTAAATGATTCCAGATACACATTGTATATGTTAGGTTAGTGACCTACTTACTGTGCATCCGGTGCATTTTATACTTACCAAGTCTACTAGGGAGAAAGAAATAGTGTACAAATTGCATGTTCCATAAATTTGTTTAAAATGGAGTGTGGGAAAACTGGAAATGATGGTTCTGTTTTATTTATATATGTATATGTATGAACATGTTTGTGTGTTCATATAGAATGAGGAGCCTGAGACTTTAAGTAGTTTTTTTGTCACTTAAATGGGTTATGTTCAGTAAATGAGAGAAGGCAGTGTGAAAGCCAGCAGTGGACCTGTGATACGTGCATTGTTTCTTTGTAGTGGGGTCCAGCAGCTCAGGAGGCTCCTTGTGCTCTGCGAGTGGCCGAGTGTATGTGGGCTCCCCACCTGGGCCAGGGTTGGGCTCCTCCCCACCAGGAGCAGACGCAGCTCCCAGCCTAAGATACGTGCCTTATGGTGCTTCACCACCCAGCCTAGAGGGTCTCATCACCTTTGAAGCTCCTGAACTACCAGAGGAGACACTGATGGAGGTAGGGAAGAAATTGCAGGGATGTGTGAATCTAGTGTTGATCTGATTTGAGTGTTCTAGTGACGATGAAAGAACAAACTATATCAAGTATTTCTCAAATTTCAAAATTCCCATGTTTGTTTGTTTGTTTATTTGTTTGAAACAAGATCTTACTACACATAATCCTGTATATCCTGAAAGTATATAGGCTGGCCTGGCCTTGATTTCACCAGTGCTGGAGTTACAGTTGTGCATTACCTATGCCCAACTCTATTTGTAGGATTAAAATTTTTTCTCTAGAAACATAACTTTTTATCCTCAGTAGTCTCTTTATTGGGTAAGAATCGTGCATCTAAACTTAGATTTAAAAACAATGCCAGGACAGTTTGGCTTCTGGGAAAGGTGAGTCAGTTTTCTTTAAGATTGTGGTCTCTATAGCTCCAGTGGATGGCCCACACCCAGGAACATATAGTCAGCAAAAATTGGACTTGATAGGTTATTTTTTAAAAAGTGGACATGAAGATTCGGAGGTGAGTAGATGAGAATGGATCTGGGAGGACTTAGGAAGAGGAATGTGTGGTTAACATCAAAATACGAAATTCTCAAAGAATTAATAAAAGTATTAATTTATAAAATAAAAAATAATTATGCCAGCATGGTGACACATACCTGTAATTTTAGCACTTGGAAGCCAAGGCAGGAGGATTTTGAGTTTGAGGTCAGCCTGGGCTATATAATAAGACCCTATGTCAAAAATAAGAGTAACAGTTAGCCATAATGCCACAGTAGTCACTAGCACAGAAACATCCTGCTTAAGCAGACTAGATGATTACATTCATAGATCAGTACTTTTCCTCTGTGGATCCAGCTCTACAGGAATAAAACATACTTTACGTCATCTGCCCTATGCTAAGCACAAATCTAGAACCAGAGGTTCCTTACCCCCAACTTAAGGATAACACTGCATATATTGGTGAATATAGTCTAATATGCTGTTATGGAGCTTAGAGACATTTAGAAATGTAAGTGCTTTTCCTCCTTGTCTCAGAAACTTAAGGCTGGTGAGGCAAACCACAACCATCAGCATCCAATCACCGACCATCCCCAGATCTAAAACTCTCTAAAATAACAAGTCAGTAAGCTCACTGAACTGTAAAGAAACATAGAACTTGGTGGCAACAGCTGTAAATCCTGATATTCAGAGCGTGAAGCAGGAGGATAGAAGTTACAGACTAGCCTGAGATTACATAGCAAGACCCTATCTCAATCAATCAATCAATAAATAAATAAGTTTAAGGGCAGGTGGTGGTAGCACATACATTTAGTCCGAGCACTCAGGCAGCAGTAGGTGAATCTCTGTGAGTTTGAGGCCAGCCTCATCTACAAATCAAGTCCCAGAGCTATACAGAGGAACAAGTAAACAACAAAAAAAGAGACTAATTTAGTGTTAAAAGTGTCCTTGTAATATTTTTAATTTTTTAAATTTATTATGTATATGGGAGTGTGGTGACACACATATGTCATATGGAGGTCAGAGAACAACTTTTGGCATTGTTTCTAGTCTCAGTTGAAGCAGGATCTCTCTTGTTTCTGCAGCAGTGTATGCTCCAAGATAGCTGGCCCACGGGTTTCTGGATGATTCTCCTCTCTTTACTTCCCATCTCATTTAACAGTTCTGAGATTACAGATGTCGTCCTTCTTTCTGTCCCCGCTCAGGGGCTCTGGAGATTAAGCTCAGGATTTCAGGGTTGCATGGCAAGTGCTTCTTCCTGCTGAGCATCTCTCCAGACCTGTCCTTGTCATCTTTCACTTTTTAAAACTTTATTTTATTTAATGTATGTGAATGTTTTGCCTATGTTATGTACCATGTTTCTTCCTGTTGTCCATGGGGGTCAGGAAAGGGGTCAGACCTCTTGGACCTGTAGTGAGAAGTGTTTGTGAGGCACCATGTAGGTGCTGGGACTTGAACCCCTGTCCTCTGCAAGAACAGCCAGTACTCTTAACCACTGAGCCATTTCTCCAGCCCTGCCTTATACTCGTGATGTCTATTTTGACATGTTTTTGTTTTACATAGATTGATTCAATTATTCATGTTTTGCTTTAGTTTGTTTTTATTTTTCTGGTAAAAGCACAGTGACTTCTGTTTGTAGCCTACTTGGGTGGGTACTTCAATACATGCAGACATATCCACACATAATATTTGGTTTGAGTGTATTTATTTTCTAACAGCTCTCTGAAATTTTAAAAACATTGTTTTTCTTTGATCATTCCAACATTCATAATATAGGAAAACCTTCTATGTATTAATACAATTAAGCCATTAATCTAAAATGTTATAAAACACCTTGCTTTTGCAGCAGGAACACACAGACACCTTACGCCATCTGAACGTGATGTTAATGTTTACTGAGTGTGTGCTGGACCTGACAGCAGTGAGGGGTGGGAACCCTGAGCTGTGCACATCTGCTGTGTCCTTGTACCAGATTCAAGAGAGTGTAGTTGTGGACCAGATCAGCCAGCTAAGCAAAGACTGGGGGTAGGTGCCTCCTATCATACTAACAGATTCTTTGTTTTCTATAAACTGTGGACACTGTTACCTGTCAGAAGTCATGTCTCACTTTGAAAAGCTGCAAGGAAACCTGAGTCGGTTCATTGTGTGAGATGTTAGCCAAGAGTTTATTATACAACCTTAACATCACCTTTCTCTGAAAATTTACCACTGAAGATATTTGATGACCAAGAGGTCATACAGATTTTTATTTCAGTGTTCCTGTAATATTCAGATATCTTTCTCCATACCAGTTCTTCTCCCTTTGGGAGTTAGATATATGCTGAAGAGTCAAGCAGGAGCAGGGTGTTGTTGCACACCCAGCACTTGGGACACTAAGGCAGGAGGGTTAATAAATTGAGATCTGCCAGGGATTCACAGGAGTATCTTGTCTTGGGGGAAGGGGATTCAGGATGCAGTTTCCTAGAAGAGCTGTTTGGATGGTAGCCTACATGCTGAGTCTTGTGGGTCAGTTCAGGACAATTCTCTGCTTATGTCTTCCGGTGCAGGCGGGTGGAGCAGCTGGTGTTGTACATGAAAGCAGCACAGCTGCTGGCAGCTTCCCTGCATCTCGCCAAAGCTCAGATCAAGTCTGGGAAGCTGAGCCCATCCACAGCTGTGAAACAAGGTAGTGTGTGGCTCCGTGGGCCTCTGTGTCGTGCCTACCTGTCCCGGAAAGTTAGCCTCTGCTGATCTTTTGTTTCTGATTGTTTCCTTGCTACAAAGAGGTCAGAAGTGCGGGACCTGTCTTTTCATACTGAAAGACCATAGACTCTGACTGTCAGTCCTTTCCTTCGGTGACCATGGAGTGTCACTTTCTTCCCAACAGCAGAAAAGGTGCACATGTCTCTATGTTATTTCTGGAAGAAAATTAAAAATAATTCCAATTTCAACTTTGTTTCAGTGGTTAAAAATCTGAATGAACGATATAAATTCTGCATCACCATGTGCAAGAAACTTACAGAAAAGCTGAATCGCTTCTTCTCCGATAAACAGAGATTTATTGACGAAATCAACAGTGTGACTGCAGAGAAACTCATCTATAATTGTGCTGTGGAAATGGTAAATCTTTTCAAGGCTTAGCATTTTAAGACACTACAGTATTTCCTTCTGAGTGTCTTTGGAATTGAACACCTACTTGAAATGATCTGTTCTTTTAGTGGTTTATATCCTATCCTTTCTCAAGTCCCAAGTGGTGTGATTACCTAATGAAGTAACTGGACTTTCCTGACATTTAAGGAGTACTTAACATAATGTAACTTATTTAATAAACTTACTATAGTTTATGGTTGTTACATTTGACAAATTTTATTATATTTCCTTTTAAACTTCATTTACAAAGTTATGTTCTCATCCTTATATAGTTTTATCTAAAGATTAAATTAACACTTTTCTGCTATTTAAGAAATTTTGGCTCTGTAAAACTTGGAAAAAATACTGCTTTGTTAATACACAAAAATTTAGGTGTTTGAGCTCAACTTACTGACTTTCTTGAAGTATAGACACCATTTGTTTGACTCTAAGGAATACATAACATACATATATATATTACATAGGGTTATTAAGTGTTTAAATAGAGAAAATTTATGAGCTAATGTTATTTTACCTTTTTAACATAATAGATCCGTCCCATTTAAATAAATTGCAGTTGTGATGTTGCTATACCCTTCGCTTTACCTTGACAGCTACTAAAATAGATAGGTTTTTTTGTTTTTGTTTTTTAGGATGTTTTTTGTTTAAAACAAAACAGGTTTTTTTCAAGACAGGGTTTCTTTGTATAGCCCTGGCTGTCCTGGAACTTCCTCTGAAGACCAGGCTGGTCTGGAGAGCGCCACCACCACCACCCGGCTTAAAGCAGATAATTTTATGAAATAGCTTTAGAATATAAACTGACAAAGGGCAGTAGTGGCACATGCCTTTAATCCCAGCACTTGGGAGGCAGAGGCAGGCGGATCTCTGAGTTCAAGGTCAGCCTGGTCTACAGAGCGAGTTCTAGGACAGCTAAGGCTATACAGAAAACCCTGTCTCAAAAAACTAAAAAATAAAAAAAATTGTAAACTGACAAGAATATATTCTACTGCTCTAAACTACACATTATAGTACATTAAGACAGTAAGAATTTTATAGTAAGAATTATGTTGCTTCTTTCCTTTCTGGATTTAACTGTAACATTACAGAGTCTTTCTTCCTTTCATAAAATATATTGATTTTAATATGCTTTTTAAAGCTGCATTGACCCTAGGACTTGTATATCCTTGAAGGTGCAAATTTTCTCGTTTTGCTAATTGGTTCCAGGTTCAATCTGCAGCCCTGGATGAGATGTTTCAACAGACAGAAGACATTGTTTATCGCTACCACAAGGCAGCCCTTCTTTTGGAAGGCCTAAGTAAGATCCTGCAGGACCCTACAGATGTTGAAAATGTGCATAAATGTAAGTCACTGGTACAGCAGTGCTCCCTTGTCCCCAGTCCCACTTCCACAACTGGGCTCCAAACTATTAAATAGAAAACTGAGAAATAGATAGCCATAGTTTTTTATTTTCTTTGTTTATTTAGTTTTTAAAGAATTGGGTATCATCTGGGCAGTGGTGGTGCACACCTTTAATCCCAGCACTTGAGTGGCAGAGACAAGCAGATCTCTGTGAGTTCTAGGCCAGCCTGCTCTACAGAGGGAGCTCCAGGACAGCCAGAGCTACACAGAAAAATCCTGTTTTGAAACCAAAAAAACAAAAGAAATTGGTTATCATTATGGCATTTAATTTCATTAGTGTTAAGTGCTTGGGTGTTCTGCCTGTGTCTAAGTGTGACACGGTGTATGCTCGGTGCCTTCTGAGGCCAGACAAAGGTATCAGATCCCCTGGAGCTGAAGTTGTGAGCAGCTATGTGAGTGTCAGGACTTGAATCGAGGTCCTCCAGGAGAACAGCCAGTACTCTTAATTGCTGAGCCATCTCTCCAACCCTCATTATGAGATATTTTCCAAAAACAATTGGTTTGTTGTTTCCTCTTGCCTCTCTTCTTCCCCAAAATCTTGAGTTCTCTGCTAGCTGTATGTAAGTACCGCCCAGTTGTCAGTCACTCCATAGCAGTGGCTGAGGTGTGCTGTATTGATAGTGCTGTGCTTGCAGATAGAGTCTGATAATGTCTATAGTTCATACCTTTTGTGGTTTAGAAAGAACTACTGAATTTAGTTAATTGCAGTTTGTCTTCTGAGTTTGGAATCATCCTGCCTGAGATGAATCTTGGGTTTTAAAAACCTGAACAACTTTTAATCCCAGCACTTGGGAGGCAGAATCAGGCGAATCTCTGTGAGGCCAGTCTGATATACATATCGAGTTCCAGAACAGCCAGGGGTTCAAGGAGAAACCCTGTCTTAAAAAAAAAAAAAAAAAAAGCCGGGCATAGTGATGCATGCCTGTAATGCCTGTAATCCTAGCACATGGGAGGCAGAGGTAGGTAGATCTCTGTGAGTTCGAAGCCAGCATGGACTACAGAGGCAGTCCAGGACAGCCAGGGCTACACTGAGAAACCCTGTCTCAAAAAATTTTTTGAACAAATATTAATCTGTGATCTCAGTCTATGTAAGATATTGATAACAGTGCAAACCTTGTATGCTGTAAGGATTAGGCTGAATATAAATTACTTTTATTCTAGATTTTTTTCATTGCATTATTTTGTTGTCACGTTCCTATTTAAGAATGGAGGAGGACATTGTTTTATGACTGAAGAGAACTCTTTTAAACTTTCTGGGCTTGACCACAGATTTTATGTAGCTAACAGAGCATGGGCTGATGGGATGCCAGGGTGATGACACATGTATCCCTAGTGCCTGGTGTCTGAGGAAGAGCTGCTCTTGCAATGTATGGCGATGCCACAGTGTAATGGCCGTGGCAGTCGGAGTTACTTGCACTTCTGAGCAAGAGAATTGTTACATCTAAATCTTCTCTGTGTAGTATGCTAATTTGAATCTTACCAATACAGCACTAAACCTTAGGTCATGTCTGAGTTGTTGCTGACAGAGAAAAAAAAACCATATTCGTGCTGTTAACTTTGGTAGAAAGAGCAGGGACCGTGGTGGTAAAAGTGTGGTTTCCCTCTCAGTTTCTCTGTCTCTGGGTTAGAAAACACAGGTGGCTTTATTATTAATGTAATTTAAATTTTATTTCTAGATAAGTGTAGCATTGAGAGAAGACTGTCGGCACTCTGCTGCAGCACTGCAGCTGTGTGAGCAGCAGGCACGTCTGTGGACAGCATGGGAGCATGAGGTGATCCTTGTGGGATTACAGCTCGGTTCTGTCACCCATCCCAGGGAACTGCGGTGACTGCCAAAGAACAAGCAGCAACTTCAGAAGGAAAAACAACACAAAACTACTACATGTTTGTAGAAAACCTGCCTTATTGGAGAAGTCACTCCCCCCTTCCTTTTTCTTTATAGAAACAGAAGCAAAAGAGTATTGCACATGGCTCGAGTTTGAACCTGGAAAATAAATGTACCTTAGAACTAGCATCATAAGTACAGTTATTCTTATGGATAAGTAAACAAGAAACAAAGTGAGTGGCTTCACTCAGCTCTCTGAGCAATATGTGAAATTCCATGTTTTGCTAAGGCATATGCAAGCAAGAGAGCATACAGCTCATCCAGACAGTTTGAGGTTTGGGGTAAGGTTGTCTGAATCTGAGCATGCTTTTAAACAGCTCAGGAGGAAGAGTCTTAAGAAGAAGCAAAAGGTGACTCTTGGATGAATTGTGAAACCTTCAACTTGATCTAATGTGGACATACATTAATCTTCCAAAATCTTTCATATTGCACTAATTTATTAAAATAATATGTATTGGATTTTGCAGTTTAAAACTAACTGAGGCACAATGGACTTGTTTAAAATATTTTACTTGATTATATACATATGCCCTTTTCAGAATTCATGTGTAATCTCCATTTAACTTTTAAATGGTCAGAACTTGCATTCATGTGAACCTTTGCATTTTTCTTACCTGTTATCTTCACCAACAGATCTTCTCAGTGGTATTTTGAGTTGCTGGTTGTTTGCATTTTTTTGTTGTGCATGCAGAATGTGCATCGATACCTGTGACCTAGGTTTATTAAAGGCTAAGTTTATTTGGGCAGTATTAGAAAGCTATCATGAATCAAGAGGTACTCTTGATAATTTCAATAGGGCCAAATCAAAGTGATGAATAAAGGCTTGTTAGTGATGTGGAATTTCTACATGAAATTAGTAAGAAATGAGGTTTGTTTTCCCTTAGAAAAATGGGCAGCTCTCTGCAGACTAATGTACTTCTCAGTGTTAATCCTGACAGTTCACCATCAACATCTCTCCGAGAATGGTTCCTATGTTGTATATTATTTTATTTCTTTTACTTACCTGCTTGAATACTTGAATAAACCATTTACTGGTTTTAATCCTTTTTTTTTTCCAGTCCTTTCACATAATAACCTGCACTCTGATAGCTGAGCAGAAGCCCTTTGGCATCACACTTAATTCAGTGTGCTGATTAAAGTTAACAGAGAAAACATGGTTTTCATTTACTTGGTGGACAAAGTAATGTAACTTTTACATTATTTATCTGTATGAAATTCCAGTAGTTAATTTGAACATTTATTTATAAGATGTTTGTAGTTTTAGGTCTTTATTACAGTGTTTCTACCTCTCATTTGTAACTGCATGCATTATTCTTCAAACTAGCTAAAACTCACTGAATCATTGTGTAATAGCCTTTTTTAAATTGCTTGTACAAATGTATATTAAGGTTAAATAAAACTGACAGTGTTTTTAGGTTATAGTTGGGTTAGTATTAAGTGGCTTGTCAAGCCAGATGCTTCCTTAGAGAATGGGTTGGAAACTTGGTCATCAATATCCTTTGTCCTGCTCCAGCATTCAAGACTCTTGGTGGCTGTCATGCAGGCTCCTGCAGGCGCACTATACTCCCTCCTTATATTAGTGATTAAATGTCTTATGTAATTTTTTACACTGAATTCTTTCATGTTCTCTTCATTATCCTGTTTATCTCAGTTCGTTTTCTAAGTAGGTAGATTTAGCCTCCTCTTCTACCACTTCTTAAAAATACAGTATGAACAGGTTGGGAGAGGGTAAGGGTGTGCAGTAGGAGCTAGCCACGTGTTGAGACTGCACTGTAGCGCTCAAGCTCTTGTACGACAAATGTCTTGTAGGTGGTGTGCGGTGACAGCGCAGCAGCAGAGAACACGCTGTAAACTCACGTGTAATGGTTCAGGTTACACTACCATTTTCAAGGCTAATTGTTTAGAGAGATTTTTGCCTTGATTACAGCAATAATAAATAAATGCTTTATGTTTCTGTATTTTATTTCATGTGTTTGATAAAATGGAAATAGACAAGTTTACACATTCATGGGTCGCACTTACATTCATATCATAACCTGGAAAATTATTGGTCATGCAAATGTCAGTAGAATTATCAGTGAACTTGCCAATTGTTTTTTTGTCTTTGTTTCTTTGGGGGTTTATTTTGTTTTGTTTTTTGCTATGTGGATTTTCTTTAACCATCAACTGTTGAAGATCTTTCTTGACATAATTATCTCCTGCAGCCCTCTTATGTGTCCTTTCCTCTACTAGGAAGAGTAATGGGCCTCACAGGAACCGGGTATAAGAGCTTGTGAGAAGCTCTTGTTAGTTGATGCTTCAGTCTTCCAAGGGTAAAAAGAGGAAGTTGAGTTGAATGCAGGAGAGATAAGGGCATAGAGTAGGTCCCTCGGACTGATGCATCTGACGTGTCTGCATTGCTTACCTCCCATCTGCATGGAGCGGGTACTCAGGGTCAGCTTCCTGCAGCACTTCGTGTCAGAAATGATGGCATCTCGCCTTCCAACTCATTCCTTTGCTGCTTCCTCTTCTACCCAGCTGGCCTGCTTGGGGATATTGTGCTTAAAATTGCTGGTACCCGACTTTTATTACTTTTCTTGTTTGTTTTGAGACAAAGTTTCTCTGTGTAGCCTTAGCTGTCCTAGACTCCCTTTGTATACCAGGCTGGCCTAGTACTCACAGCAATCGGCTTGCCTCTGCCTCCCCAAGTGCTGGGATTACAGGCATGAGCCACCACAACTGGCCAACTTTTATTATTTTGTTTGAGAACATTCAATGAATGAATGACTTATTTTCCATAGTACAGTGCTCACTTTCCCACAAGAGGAACTATTCTACAGTCCAGCATAAGAACCAGGAAGTGCTATGATTAGGGATGGCCTATCTCAGTCTCTTAAGAACAAAGAAAAGGAACCTGAGTTGGGGAAAATACACTTGAGCTTGTGTACTCAAGTAGTGAAACCCTGGTGGAGGAGACAGACTTCCCTTCATCCTTTGTGCGCAGTGCTAACCGACACTTGTGTAGCACAGCCACTTGGCAGGAGCACCTGCTGCCTAGAGAGCTGGTCTCCTACATCACTCAGCTTTAGATGGCATTTGGCTGCTTTGCTCATGGGTTCTGAGTCATTGAATCAGCAGCCATGCAGACTGTTAAGTCCTTCCCAAGTCCCTTTCATGCTTTACAAAGTCCTGTGAGAGAGGAATCAAGAAGAAGTAAGACTTTCTGTCAGGTAAATCAGGAAGTTGGATCTGAAGTGATGGCCCTATAAATGCAGCGCCCCCTGGTGTGGTAATCTCAGCAGTGGGGAAGCAGGGGCAGGCAGATCTCTGCATTCGAGGCCAGCATGGTCTGTAGAGTGAGTTCTGGGACAGCCAAAGCTGCATGTTAGAAAAAAAACACAAAACTGTCTCTAAAATAAAAATTAGAAATACATTTAAAAAGCAGAGCCTGTAGGATACTGGTGATGATCCAGGACAAAAATCACAGGATTTGTGCCAGAGATGAAACCAAACTGGTAAAGAATCAAGAGAAAGCAACAAGGCTATGATCTTGTTGCCGTGGTGACCTGTTACAGTTAATTTCATAACTGTTGGTTTCTCTTTGTTTCACTCTTAACCCAGCTATCATATAACTGAGACTATATATTTGTTTATAATTAGCTTCACAACACAAGAACTGAGCAGTTATTACTCTTATTTTTTTAAATTAACTTTTTAATAAAATTTTTATTTTTTATATTAAATTCAGTTTATTCACTTTGTATCCCAGCTGTAGCCCCCTCCCTCATTCCGTCCTAATTCCACCCTCCCTCCCTCATCTCTTCTCATGCCCCTCTCCAAGTCTACTGATAGGGGAGGTCTTCCTCCTCTTCCATCTGACTCTACTTTATCAGGTTTCATCAGGACTGGCTACATTGTCCTCCTTCCTCTGTGGCCTGACAAGGCTGCTCCCCCATCGGGGTGGGGGTGGTCAAAGAGCCAGCCACTGAGTTCTTATTACTCTACTCTTAACCCTCTAGGCTAATCTGGTTTTCTCCCAGTGTATTCTCCAGGATATTTGAATTTTGTAGCTTTCCTGCTCCAGCTCCTCTCTCCTTCCTGGACATCTCCTGTGGCTCAATCCCCAGGCTGAATTCCCTACTTCCTCTTTTAACCCCTCCTCCTCTGCTCAGTGATTGGCTCTGAGCTGTTTTATTGACATTTCAGAGGAGCCATTGGGAAGCAGAGTTTATACAACATTAAGACATTCTCAGAACAAGGTTTGCAGCCAGATATGGGGGATACAGAAATCAGCATTTGAATTACAGGTTAACCTTATGCCGACAGTGACCACAAAGCACCCAGTAAAGGCTGCACAGGAGATTAGGCCATAAAGCACTGCTGTGGTACCAAGGAAGAATGCTGTGAGAAGTAGGTTGGTTTTTGTTTGGGTTTCTAAGCTTATCTTGGTGAGTGTTTTGCCTGCATGTATGTCTGTGCACCACATGAGTGCCTAAAACCTATAGAGGCCAGAGGAGGGCACTGAGTCTCTGTAACTGCAGTGAACATTGTGAGTTCCGAGACTGAACCTGGATGGGTCCACTGCAAGAGCAGTGTGTACTTTTAACACTAAGCCATTTCTCCAGCTGTGGGTTTTGCTTTGTTTTACTTTGGGTCAATTGTGCCATAAAGACCTTTGTCATTGAGCATGTGTTAGCAGCTTTCCCAGGAGCTCCATAGCCTGGGCTGACCCGGAGACTATTCTTCAGTAGATACCTACGTGAGGTTGTTCAGCTTGAGCTAGCTGAGTACACCTCTCAGCCCCTGCCCCATGCTGCATCGACCACAGTCCTGTGCTTGTTGCATGGGTAGATGGCAATTTAAACACTATGTACTGAAAACTCCTTTCCGCATCTCCTTCAGGGTCTCTGCAGCTCAGCTTAGGGGTCTCCCTGGCCACACACCAGCAATTTCTGAGTTCAGCTGTGTGTCTTTGGGCAGCTATCTTAACTAACTGACTTACCAAGTAGGGGAAGAGTTGGACCCTTGGAGGGTTGGAAGACAATTGACAAATTGAGCATGAAGTCATTTGAGCAGTACCTGTCATGAGTAAGAACTCTGATCCCTGTGTTGTGAAGCATAAAAGTTATGTTGATTTTGTTTTAGGACAGGGTGAAAAATAACTTGGTTTTGCATTTGTTTGAAGCAAGGCCCAGATTTAGGACTCATTGAAGCCACATGCAGAATGGCCAGGCCATTTGCTGGAGAGGTCTGGTTCTTGCAGAAAAGCCACCTTTCTACGGCTTCCCCACTAGGCACTTGGCTTTGGGTATTGTTTATGTTGTTCTTTAAGCCCTTTGACTTCTTTATTGAAAAGTGTATCCAACTAACATTAGCTATTTCATCTGGTCTCCAGTGTCCCACAGCGTTTCAAAACCACAAATAGTTTGTAATCCAAAGAGTAGTGCTGGTACAAAGGAAGAAGCCTCAAGTCGATGGATAGAGGCCATGTACAAAAGTGGACATGAATATTGTGGTCAGTTGAGTCTGACAAGTCAAAATCATTCAAGAGAGGACACGTTACACATTAAAGAACTAGAAAACATAGTTCGTCCAAATATTACAGGGATATTTATGTGCAAAATGCGGCTAGACCCTGTCATACTGCAAATAAATGTACCCTGAAGTGTCTGTGCATTACAGGAGGGTGCACGTGCATTGCAGTGAAGGAGTTCCTATAACTTAGATAGAACATCAGTCAAATCAAGACCCGCCTGGGCCTGGAGAGATGTTCAGATATTTAAGAGCACTTACTGAGCAGTCACGAGGGCCAGGATGCAGATATCAGCTCCCACGTAACAGCTGGGCATCCTCTACAGGCCTGTAATTCCAGATCTAAAGGTAGCAAAGACAGGACCACTGGAGCTTGCTAGCTTCCAGCCCAGGCAGGAAAATGCAAGCCTCAGGTTCAGAGAGAGACCCGGTTTCAAATGAATAGAAAGAGGAGACTCAACATACTTATGGCCCCTATATGTGTAAACAAAGTGTATGTTTATACATACATGCATGCATACATACACATATACACACATTGATTTACAACAATTTTTTCTTCAGTTTAATAGACCACTGGGGTTGGAGAGAGAACTCAGCAGTTAAGGGTACTCACAGGTCTTGTAACTCCAGTTTCAGGGGATCTGATTCCCTCTTCTGGCCTCTAGCTCAAAGCAATGAAAATTTGAATAGGAATTTGAAATCAGGAGCAGGTGTTGGTGAAGGATGGAAGTGACTAAGAAGAGGCTTGGGTGAGGAGAGCCAGCCATTAAACCCACCTAATAGAAGGTCAGGATATCAAGACATCGTTCAGGAGGGTGAAGGAGGCTGTAGAGTGGTTGGATCTCAAGGGGAATCTGGTATCAAGGATAGGATTTCTGCCTAGGCTGTTCTAGCAGAGTTCTTTCTGAAATTGGGCACAGTAGAGATAAACACATAAGTCAAAATTTGGGAGCCTATTGCAAAAGTAAGACATGACAGAAATGACAGGAATCACTTTCCAGCCCAAAGTCTGAAGAATTTATTCTGGAAAAGAGAACAGGGGTCACACAAGCTGGGCTATGGGTTGGGAAGATGCTGAAGACATAACTGCTAAATGTTATTGCACATTATCTCAGTAGATTCCAAGTACAAGGAAGGTCAGCAGTCCCCAGCCTTCACCACCTCTCAGTTGGGAAGGCCTCATTAACCAGCCTCATTAATCAGGATCAGGTTTCTGTGCAGCCAAGGAGTTGTCTCTGAAAACAGCTAGAATAGAAATTCAGTACAATCAGGCTGGTGGTTGAGGCTGAGGCAGAACTGTCATGCTTTTGAGGCCAGCGAGGCTACATAATGAGAGCCTAACTTAAAAGCAAACAAAAGCCCACCAAGCAAAAAGTTGCTCCTCTACAACTGTCACCCCGTTGCCTTGCAATTCTGCCCTTGATGTACTCAAATGTGTTTCTAAATCCC